TGCACATGTAAAATCATATAGCTGGGAAGTTCTGCAAGGAAGAATGTGGCTCGTCAAGCTGCTTGAGTAGGTGTAGAAAACCTGAAAAGGAGCAATTCCAGTAGGACCTGCGAGGGTAGCGAGACGAGCAGAATGAATCAGGGTTAAAAGTCGATTTTCACTCCGGATAGGGACACCGGGGTGAAATGAGATTAGTAAGTCTTGTGAGAGGAGCGAGACGAGCTGGATGATAATGCTGAAAACTGTTGTAACTGTGGAAAATGTGGAGAAAGGGTTGAAAGCACGGTGTAAATATTTGAGGTAAACCGTGGATTGGTGAATATGTAATAAAAGCAGACCTTCTTAGTTGTACGGTTGAGCATGTGTATTCTGGTATGTTTAGTAGGTTGCGTGACTCGAGCTGGTCAAGCAAGTCTGGCTGGTGAGCACTACTCCAGTCTGTTCACTGAGGTATGGCCCTTCGGGGAATATCGCGGGGGCTGTGGTTTAATACCAAAGGCGGTAGAACTCAAAAAGGGTTCGATGTGGAGTTGCATTGCAACCGGGTGCCGGGACCCAAAGAACGGCAGAGACTTTAGGTAGGTTTCGGCCTCACCAAGGTGGTTAGTGTGTCCTCCCACACTGCCTTAGGAACTGAAATGCTTGCATTTCAGGGCAATGATTAAGGCAAAAATTAATCCGTTGTGCCAAATGCGGGCACCGTGATTAAAGCCTTTTGGCAGGTAATCACGTAAAGCCTATATGCATCTGTCCGTTGCTCCTGTTATGTAATGAAACGTTTTTATTGGATTTTTGTAATAAAAATTAATGCAGAGTGGTGAGTGGACACATATTTTGTACAAACCATACCATGAGATTTCCAGAGATGCGAACTGTTTTTTCGGTCAGCGTATTAACTTGACCCAATGCACTTTTTCAAAATTTCCATGGGTGATATCCAATGAAAGCTCGAATATAAAAGAAATAATTTCAATATAAATATAATTGAATTTTTATTTACATTTCACATTTGTATACATAATGCAAATACATTACATAGTAAATTGCATAAAAATGTAAAACTAAGTATTTATCTAGGTAGATTATCATACTTATCATGCTTACTTAACGCAAACGTCAAGCTGTGAAGCTGTGTTTTTCTGTGATCTGTTTAAATTTTGTGTTTTATAAAGTTGTTTACGCTTATTAAAGTAAAAAATTAAAAAAAGTGTTAATAAACTTCTGGTGCACAATTTAAAGATAAGTAAAACATCAAAATTTCCCGTAAATTTGATTAATTTAACTTGATATTCTTAATTGCATGTGCCGAGTATTTTGTTTCATGTAATATATTGTTGTTGTACAATTGTTTTTGTTTGTGCACATTGATTTTGCTCTTTTTGTCATTTCTGCTGTTTCATCTTTGTCACAGCTGTTTGCGTTGTGTTTATTAGGTGTCAAATATACAGTGCATTTAAAACTGTTCGCTACATAGCTTTCCAACTGATATTTACCAGCTGATTGGTTCACTGATTAATACACCGTTTTCAAAACCGTTTTTGCCTTTTTGCTTCTAAAATCTAAAAATAAATATAATTTTAAACATGCCGTGTATTTACACCAATTGCCACGTTAAAAGCGACTGCTATGTGTCATGCTGGCTCTGCGATGGGATTGCCCATATAAAATGTGCTGGTTTGAGCCGTAGAGTATTAGACGCTATTAACGAGGGTAAGGGTCTTCGTTGGTCTTGTCAAAAATGTAGATCAACCGAAGTTGATTTATTTAAATTCTTCAGGCAGTCCAGAAATGTTTTTTCTGAGATCGGGAAGGATCTGTCGGCGCTTGTTGAGAAATTTAAGCATTACAAAAAAATGTTTAGGTCTTTCACTTGCCTCGACAACCCTCCACACTCTGAGGATAGCCGAGAAAATAAAGGTGGGCATGTTATTAGTCCACCTAAAAAGACAGCCACGGATTCTAGTAAAAAAAATCCTCCATCCCAGTCCTTGGAGCTTATTAATCTATCTTCTCCATGCCCTCAGGCATTGGAGCCTCCGATATCTAAAGCCATATCCACTAGGTCTACTTCTAAAAATAAATAGTCAAACCGTTGATTTAACAGTGTTGCCATCAACATCTCAAGCTCCACTGTCTAACTTAGTTCCTCCGAATAATTCGGAGCCCCGCACATCAGACATCATTACCAAAAAGTTGGTTGTAATTCCTCCGAGAAGATCAATCTTTGTCTCTAGATTTGCTAAAGATACTTCTTCGGATGATATACAGTCATACATATCGACTAAAATTAGAACTAAAGATATATTTATTCGTAAATTTAATTTTAAATACGATCGCGATATTTCATCTTTTAAAATTGATGTAGCTTCCGAAGATTTTGATTCACTGCTAAATAGTTCATTTTGGCCGACCGGGGCGTTTGTTCGCGAGTTTGAGTATAAACCTAATAAAAGTAATAATAACGTAGCTAAAATTTCTAATCTTAATTCGGATTCAAAAAACTAACTCGCAAGTCTAATTTAAGTATTTACTATCAAAACGTTAGAGGTTTGAATACCAGATTAACTGACTTATATTTAAAAGGTTTTGACTGCAATTATAATATTATTTCCTTGACCGAAACATGGCTCAAACCTCATATTTTTAATTCCGAAATTCTTCCAAATGAATATCAAATATACAGGAGTGACCGCGTGGGCAGAATCGGCGGTGGTGTTCTTTTTGCGGTGCATTCATCGATACCATCCGAGGAAGTTAGTCTTCCTGTCATTGAATATACCGAATTTAAATGTATACGTGTACAGGCTGGAAAGACTTATATTTATTTAGCTCTTTGCTACATCCCTCCTAATTCTGCCGTATGAGTATATATGCAGCTAGTTTCTTTACTTGAGACCGTAAATGCAATGCTTACGGCATCCGATTCTATGATTGTTTTGGGCGATTTAAATCTGCCACATATTTCATGGAACATCATTGACACCGATGTTGTACCAGTTTCATCTAGAGATAGTTACAATGTATTTCTGGAGGAAATGGCTGAACTTTGCCTCAAACAAATAAATATATG